TTTTTAATATTTGCACTCTTTCCTACTGTATACTGCAACTCCTACACAACAATATCCCTCAAGATAAATAAGGTACTATCTTATATTAAATGTGGATGTTATTGTGCAACATGTGACTGTAAAAAAAATCCTGACACAAAATACTACTGTACTTTATTGATGTAGTGTCCACTGTGCACTTGTGTGTTTTAACTTCATAGTTGCTATTTATCTGGCATTTCATACGAGTCCCAATGTGATAGGAATGGAGTATAATTGTCATTAAATTAGCCTTTAACTTTTAGGACATTATTACTTGGTATCAGTTGGAAATGTTCTCATACATCACATAGTTAAGCTGCAAAACTGTCAATTGAATCAAGCACTCTCTGAAGCGCCAGTGACATTTGAAGCTTTGGACGTCATCAGTCATGTGATATTTTTAATTTGACACAAGCCACAACACAATGTTTTCAAAAAGTGTACTTCACAGGACTGGATCAAAGCTTCATGCTTGTGATTGTCTTTCACTGTGTTTCATTTCTTAAATATACATATTTATTAATGGGTTTTTGTGAAATCCCCTACAACTGAGTGGCCTGTGCATCAGAAATGAGTCCTGAAAAACAAACAGTAGATCAGTTGGAATGGGTATGGCTTTTCAAAAATGTAGGAGCTACAACAGCAAAAGCATGGTCACCTATGGATTTAAAATGTTATCTGGGAACAGATAAAATACCTTGATTAGATGATAGAGAGCTCAATAACTCTGCTATATGTGCAGGGGCCAGGCCATTCAAGATCTTGTGCCTAATTAGTGCCAATTTGAAGTCAGTTCTGTGTTTTACTGGACGCCAATAATGACGCATTGGAACCTATGACTAGTTTTTGTTAAAACTTAGCTGCTGCATATATATGCATTTATTATTCAAATTATTTGACAACATAACATTAACTCATGTTATTTGAAGTACAACAGACAGTAGAGGGCACCAGCACCAAAGGTAAAGCTTTGCCAACCTCCAGCTTGACAGAGCTCTAGTTGAGGTTTTGTTACACATATTCACATATACTGTTTGATGCACTGTAACACAGTAGAAGATTAAAATTTCCTTATATGCTGTTCCTCTATGTTCACTTACAGTATCACTTCATGAACCAGTTATGGATTGCCACACGGATTCATCAGTCACAAAATAGTTTAACTGAGTATATTTCTTTCTAAATTTCGATGTCACATACTGAGCACTGGCATAGCTTAGGTGACAGATGCAAGATGTCTGAGTGAGTTATTTCATCTTGCCTTGACGAGTGACAGAGTGACACCCTTTGGTGTGGTGCATTTTGCAAAATGCTGTGACAGCTCCATCTCTCAATTGTTGGCTTCTCCAGTCGCCTCTGTGGCATAATAGACCTGTCATCAGCATCGTCCTCCACCATCCCTCTTCTGCTTTTGTCTAGACAGCAGTTTATCAAACATCTTCAGCCGTTTTTTTTTTTTTTTTGCAAGCACAGATAAGGAATGTCAAATGTGGCGTTTTCAATACCACAGTGCCAGATTGGAGATAGATAAATGTTTGACCTCCTTAGGCACTGTCTACGGTTTCTGCACAAGTATAGATTAATGTGCTCACTTGGAACTTGCTCACTGCATCTTAGAGTCATTTAGCAGAAATCTAATTTTCTTCTGTGGTGCAAAATCATTTCACCCATTTACAAAATAAATCATCTTGCTTGAAACATTTTCTTGAACAAAATGTCATTCCTCTCAATTTTGTTTCTGTCCCTTTCTCATGGTAATTTGTAATTCTCAAAGCAAGCAAACAGGTGAAATAGTCTGAATCCTCTTGCAGATGTTTTCATTACTTTTAGGCATCAATAAACTTAACAGGGCCATATCTACCCCTGAGGACACTGAGGTCGTTTTAGCAACCTGGTGTTTACATTACACATTGTAGTTATTGTTAAAAAATATTCTTAGGGTTAATTGATGTAACAGGGAAAGGTAAGGCAGGTCTAGCTTGGAGTCATTAACTGACCCCACAAGTGTTCACTGACCTTCCAGCTCTAGTTATTTCTTACGTGTAACTGTCCTTGTTAGGGAGACAACACTGATTAGTTGAAGACAGTATATCAGGCATCAGGCTAACAGATATGTGTTCTCTGGGAATCTGGCAAGGTTGAGTCTTACAAGAATGTTTACATGATCTTACTGGCTCCACAGATTACAACTCATGGATAGTAATAGATTCCAATTTGACACTGCGTCTCCTCGGCCAGGCTCAATAAACCAAGCTATGTTAAGTCTTCATCTGTCAACTTCTTCTTAACACCTGAACCTGACTCCCAATATTTCTTCACCAGTTATTTTATAGGCTGATTCTAGTGTTTACAGACTCTTATATGTAAATTAATTAGAACATTTTAGACACTTCACCTTTGTTGAAATTTTCTGTGGGGGGGATTAAGAAGAGGTTAAGAATTAGGCCTTTTGGTCCTGAATAAGGTATTGGCGGTGGGGATTGATTAAAATGTGAAGCATTAAAAAACAATGTCATATTGTGATTATGTAGCAGTGCACTGAATGTAATGATATTCAGATCTATTTCCTTTCCTACCCCAGGTCATCCTTAGCTTCCTCTTTACCAGGCAAACTGTCTGCTGCAATGACCAGCAAGAGTTTGTGGAGATGCAGAACCTTCTCATTGTGTCTTACTTTATCTATAAAGAAACACACATTGTGTGCACACACACATTTCTATTTCTGAGTGTGTGCCCTCTGACCACTGCAGCTGCACCTCTTCAGCACAAGTAGCTATAATTGCCCTTTTCCCTCCAATTTAAATGTGCTTGTTTGGCATGACATAAAAATAAATTTATGTTGCCAGTGCATATAAGAGAAAATAGTGGATAGAGAAAAAGAAAGCAAAAGAAATTACAATACCAAGCAGTTGTATTAGAAAATAATTTAAAAGAAGATTAGCAAAAATCCCGATGTATCTTGGATATCCTAATTTTATCTTCTGTAATGTTGCTAAGATGTCCATCCAGCCAGATTATACAGATACTGTCATGTTAGAAGCTCCATGTATGGTCATTTTATGCATACACTTATACACTTAAAATATTACTGTCTTTAAAATCTCATGTATGTCCACATAGGTTATTTTATCTGTCTGCCTTGCCTTGTAGCAGCAGGTAATGATCTGAGCTGCTATAGTCTTGCTGTGTTTCTGTCTTAGCCCAACAGAGAACAACATTTTTCTATCATCTGACAGGGTCATAAAGCCTGAAATAGTTTTTTAAATTATGTTTTTTTTTATTTCTATTTATTTAACTTACCTGTATGTTCCATTTGGCGGAGCATACACAATCTTTTATGTCAGCACCCTAGCAGTTTAATAGAACAACTGAAACAAAATAAAAAGAACTGACAGAAATTAGTGAAACGAAACACTTACAATAAACAAGGTATTTGCTCAGAGAAACCTATCACATGGAGGTAGAGACCGAGTATGTTCTTGATGAGGTACAAGTGGTTTGATTTTTAGGGGACACTGTTTTTTTTATTCCATGAGACCACTGCAATAACAGCTCCAAGAGCATTAAACCGGTCACTGGAGCGTGTTAAACAAGAAGTGTTAGAGCAGCAAAGATGAGATACAAGATAAAACTTTTCCAACAACACTGTATCAGTACCAGTGGTTATTATATCTCTCAGACAGGGGAGGCCAACCAACTGTATCATATAGAAAGCAGTGGTGAGTGTTGCAATTATCAGCTGTGATGAACCAGAGGGCAGAGTGGTAAATGTAATCTAGTGGCGTCAGAAGGGAGGCAGCAGCATATTTGAAATCCCCATGATCCAGAACTGAGAAGAAAACTGATGCAACAATCTTATTTTCACTAGTCAGAGGGAAGCTTTCAGAGGGAACATTTTCTTATCAAGCCAGATGCCAAGATATTTAGATTCTGTGACCCTTTCAGTAGTGGAGAAATGCATATTATTGTCATTAATTTCTCTGAATTTGGACAGTTGCATGACATTTGTTTTATTTTGGCATTAAGTACTAATATAAGGTTAGTAAGGGCATCTTGCAGTGCAATAAACCTGCATTAATTGACAGCCAATGACTGACACCTGTAACCCCGTTAGCTCTATGTGTATATTTTGGCCACTTTGGGGCAGCTAACAAGCTACACTGACATCACTTAACAATGCTAAAGTGGATTTAATTAGTATTTTTTATAACAATAGACCAAATAACTATGTGTAATATGAAAAGGGTCACTTCAAGTGACAAATTAACAGCAAATTATCACCTGACTATGTGCATTTTCCCTCTGCTCTACAGAGTATTATAGCACTTTTCAGTTCATTGTTTTAATTTTCCTGCAACTTTTGTGTTTGGGTTCACTCTCACTTAAATCCACTTTACCTGCTTGGCATTAAATAGCAGACAGGCATAGTTGGCAACCACCTGAGGGGGTTTGAGCGCTTCTCGGATGCGCTTAAATTTTGCTTTTTTTGAGAGTGTCAATGGGATCATAGTCATTTGATTCATTGTTATGTAACATATTAATAAGAGTGTCTTTAAAGGAGTTGTAATTTCTCAGTGACTAATTGGACAGAATCAGAAAAACACACAGGAGGTTATAGTCGGCGTAAAGGCACATTTAAAAAAAATATTTAGGACACATGCTGAGGGAAGGTGTCTCTATTATTCTTATTCTTATAATAATAATAATAATAATAATATGATAATGATAATAAGTATTTAATACATCTATTTAGATTTGGATATGTATCTCCAAAACAGATATGTTCTCACTCACTGGATGGTCAATATGTGCGCCCAGACATGCAAATAGACAATGTGTGTAGTTGTGTGGGTTGTTGGAGGCCCTTGACGCCCCCACCCACCCACCCACCCCCTTTACCTCCAGATCTCTCTCTCTCTCTCTCTCTCTCTCTCTCTCTCTCTCGTGTTTTTCTGCCCACCCCGTTCTCATTCCATCAGGTCCTGCGACCGCCTCATCTCCTCCACCAGAGCGCGAGGATCAGACAGAGGGGAGTGTAGGAGGGAGGGAGAACAACAGCAGCATCACTGTCAGCCGTCTCCCTCGCTGGGGGAGAGAGGGAGAAAAAGAGAGAGGTGGGGAGAGAAGAAGTGGAGAGAGTGACGAGAAAAGAGGAGAGAGTGAGAAAAAGAAGTTTTCAGTTGGAGGGAGGACAAGCAAGAGAGAGTTTGGAGTGAGAGCGTGGTGGGTGGTAGTGGGGGTATTGAGAGCTTCATATTCCCTTTTCTTTAATCAGCTGCGAGCACCACTTGCCTTCTCTTTTTCTCCTTCTCCCCTCCTTCTCCTCCTCCTCCTCCTCCTCTTCTTCCTCCACTCTGCCCCTCTTCTCGTCCCTACTCTCCACGCCCAGCTCCCGCCGTGGGGTCTCAGCTCTCCATCTCCCTCCCCCCCTCCCTCGCTCCCTACCTCCCCCGGGCCCTGCTGGGCGCCTCCGGGCTGCTCCGCCGCAGGAGGATGTCTCGCAGGGAGTCTCCGCCGCCGCCCTCATCACCTACACCTCCACAGCTGCTGGGAGGGCGGAGAGGAGAAGTGGATTGCGCGGATCGTCCGGAGCGCGCCGAGCCGCTGTCGGACGCTGAGAGGGAGATAATCCAGGACACGTGGGGACACGTCTACAAGAACTGTGAGGACGTGGGGGTATCCGTGCTCATAAGGTGAGTTTTTATTATCAAGAGGTGAAAGCCGAGGATTTTATTGGCACTGTTGAAAACTCCCATGTTTGTCTCAGTGTGTGTAAACTTTCGAACAAGAGATCACTGAATACATTGCAGATGAAGAAGCTTAATTTTAAGGCTGTGTGTTGATGTAACGCCTGCTGTTTGAGCTTTCTCTGTCTGTTGCTCTATTTGGATGTAGGTGCTTTATTCTCACAGTAAATCCTGGTACTCTCTATTAATTCCCTGTGATCAATTCACCATACAGTGCGTCATTATTAATAAGTGGTTGGATAGTAAAGTAATTTGTAATTATAGGCCTACTACACATGAAGGCAACAGAAGAAAGGTATTTTCTTTTTTTCTAAACAGTAGGCCTAATTGTAAAAACTTTGTGTAATATTAAAGGCTCACTTGACTCTGCTGATATAAATGGAGATTCACCTTGCATAAGGTTCTTTCAACCACCTCGCTTTTTTGTTGCTGATGAATATCCAAGGAATACAGAGATCACATGCACCAAATGTGAGGAGAAAATGAGCAAAAGAATTCATACAATGTTTGAAAAACATAATTAGCACATCTGAATAGTGCATCAAAGGTATAAATATTAGCAGTAGTAGCAAGAATCTGTGATGGTTGATATAGCATTAACAAAATCTGTAAAAAGCTTTACAGATAATGTTTTAATGCTGTAGGCCTAAATGTTTCTCAATTATTTGGTCCAGTAGCTTCTGAATGAGCCGACCGCTTTGCTGTCTTCACAGGTTATAGAGAGGTTTAGGTTTATGTTTGTGGCAGGGGGGTCAAGGCTACTAGAGCACAGAGTAAACCTTCATAGGGTTAATTTCTGCAAATCCCTATCCCCTGTTGAGCGGTAGCCATTATGCCTTAGCAGCCACGGTCAGAACAGCAGGTCATGTGACGCCTGCAGGTGCAAAACGACTTTTCCCGTGCACAATCATTACAAAAGGCACAGCTGTCAAATTAATAGCTTAGTCCTTACTCGCTGTAGTGGCTGTTGTGGTTTAGACTGAAGTGCTTCCCAGATTTTTTTCCTCACGTTTATCACACCAAACTCTCACCTACAACCATGTATTCATTTAAAGCGTCCCCTTAAAGAGCAGCTTTTGTTTTTGTTGACCTGGTTTAACTTCTCACCTTGTTGCTGATGTAGGTGTGCAATTCAGGTGTGTCGGTACACTATGACATCACTATGGATGTGGTTACAGGTGCATCAAACCAGAAACTTACCCCAAGAGGACAAGTTTGGAAACGCTGCCGACCCCGTTTTGCGTTTCAAGACTCCAGAGGGCGTTGTAGTGAAGACGGACAAAAACGGAGGACTTTAGAAAATATGATTGGGTGCTCTCTGATTGGGTGTTATAAGTCATGCAAAGCACAAACACGATGCTACTGAGAGTTTTTGAGTTGGTAAATATTCTGTACCATGCAGTTAACACTTAGGCCTATCTGCCTACAGTTGTAAGCTACTGTGCACGTCGCCGGTTACTTTGCCACGACTCCCAGTCTGTTTTCTGCCACAGTCCCGTGTTACATTCAGTAACAGTCCCAGCTCGTTATTGTTGAAAAATCTGGTCTGATTCATCGCCTGCATTTCTTTATTCTTTCGCCAAATCTTCTGTAACTTCAGGAAAGACCATCTGCTTCATGTTTACACTGGCACACACTTGTTCAGTTTACCTGAACAGCCAATCGATGTGCGTTTTCAGTCGTTTTAATGTAGACAGAGATCAACTCCAAAACAAACTAAAACGCTGGTGTGGATGGAGATCATATTCATTTTAATTCTGTTTGTAAACCAAAACAGAGTAGTGTGGATGAGGCCAGTTTACACCATGTGTTGAGGCACTAGCGTGCACACACACACACACACACACACACACATCTAGTACTGCAACCATTCCCTCAACCTCTCACCAATGACTGAGCTGTCACAAGTGTAGAGAAGGAAGGAACATCACATTCCTCTCTCATTAAGATGCTGAAGAAATACTCCATATTCCACTTCTCCTCCATTACAGTATGATAAGACACTGAGGATAAGTCTCTGAGATTGTGAATGTGTTGAATATGCGCCTTGTGCATTTACATTTATCTTGGGTAAAATTCATCTATAGAAGACAGTTTATGCCTCATACATTTTTATCTTTGTTAGTACTGTAAGCACCTTGTTGTTATGCACAGCTCTAGTCTTGCTATACCATTGCTTCTGTCTTCTTAAGCTGTGAAAACATACCCATGACCAATAAAATCTAAAAATTTTCCCAGACTCTAATCTTCAACAGGCAGTAATTCTCTGAAGCTTCACTGCAACACACTGTGGTTATCCTGCTTCTTTTCATGTTTTTCAAAAAATACATATATCACAGAAGAAAGACTTGGTTCGGTTGAATGTCCTCAGCTCCTTAAGGGCTTGTTAAAATGGACAGCGAGTTGTAGCAAAGGAGACCGATGAGTGAGACAAACTGATTTTTGGTTTGGGGTGATGAGAATTCCTGAGGGAGAGAGTGGAAGGGGCAGAGAGCATCCTTTGTACATAATGTACATATGTGTGTGTCTTGTGTGCTTATCTGTGGATGACAGCAACAAGCTTTGGCACTTAACTGTCACTCCTTTCAAATCTCTTGTTCTCTTGGCATATTTTCTCCTCCCTTGATGAAAAGATGACATTCTTCTTGCTCTAAAATCTCAGTTGGCGATGCTGACCATTAAAATCAATTATGTCAACATTGCCAAGCACATTACACATCCAGGAACTAGGTTTGCTGACTGTGGTGTAGATGCATATGGTTAAGAGCTTCTCGTAGCTAATGAAACAACTAGTTTGGGTCTGTCTAAGGGTAACAAAATACACCTACCAGCACCATGGAGGTCACTCCTAAACACGTTATATATTAATACGTACAAAAAACTGATAAGACTGTATAAAACATGGATGTAGTCTCCGTGACATCACCCATAGGTTTCTGAAGATTGATTGTTAAGCTCACTTCACTCCACTCCACTTGTCAGTGGCTGCAGTTTTAAGCCACATTTTTACACTGCACTTTTAGATCCTGGTTGTTTATATCCATATAGTATAAGATTTTATTTATTGGACATTTAGATCTTAAGTATTAAGACTCCCAGTCGCAAGTGGATTTGCTGCTAGCATAACCCGGCTTGCCGTTGGGGACAGCAGATAATATCACCCCTGTTGTGCACTATCACCACTCACCACCAGTAACACCGCCATCCGGGATTAAACATAAGATAATCTAACCTGCTTTCCAGATGTTGATCCATCGCAGCAGGTGCAGTGTTTGGGCCTGTACCAGGAAGTCCCGTTCTCAGTAGGACATCCTGTGTGTAACGCCTTACAAGTCTACTTTCCGTGGGCGTTTACTCTTAAAATTAAAGAAATAATCTTAAGGTCAAAATTGTTAGGAGCACGGCCGAGGACTTTTAAGAAGCTTAAGAGTTTCTTTAGTAGAGGAGAAAATGGCAGAAAGACGAAGAGGGAGAAGAAATGTGTTGCAGACAATGGATGACTGGTTAATCAGACGCTATAGATTAGATCGTGCAGGGATCATGTTTGTGACTGATCTTATTAGAGACGTGCTAACATCTCCGACACAGCGCTGGAATGCCATAGCGCCAGAAATGAAAGTAATCACTACATTACGATATTTGGCAGCTGGGAAAATGCAACAGTGATGATTTGGGTCTGTCACAACCTTCTGTAAGCAGAGTGATCACACAAACAATTACAGCACTTTCAGAACCTCTTATTGTGTTGCAGTTCATTTCGTTTCCACTGGACATTCCCACCTTGCAGGCTCAAAAAACTGCATTTATGAATATAGCAGGCTTCCTTGGTGCGCACAAGCAGGGGGAATGAACCGTTAATAGTTTGTGCTATACGCTCCCACATCTGCTTCTTGCCCCATGCTGTGACACCCAGCCCGAATTTTCCTTTTAGAATGGCTTTGTGTTCATCCACTAACTGGGCTAACAGTAAACACTGTTCCTTTGTCCAGTTGGGCTTTCTCGCCCTTCATGGTTTTGATTCCATGTTTGATACATTAAAACCAACATTCAAACCACCACTTAAATAGACATGCCAGCAATCAGTGTAATTGGAAAGAGTGGAACAATTTTTATCATTCTAAGCCTGGTAATATGGTATGGTGAATGAAAAACATGGTAAATAAAAAACAGGATTTATATACACATATATATAGTGTGTGTGTGTGTGTACGGTCATATAGGAAATATTACGCATGTAATTTCCAAAGTGAAGGCATAGAATAGAACCTATACTTAAAATCACAATAAGATGAAAGTTTTTGTCTTTTCCTTGCTCAGAGTTGCTCTCAGATCAGTCCCTGATCGCTCTTAAGCTAAGACTCCTACGTAAAAGTTTTTAAGCTAAATTAAGAGTTTTCTGAGAGGATTCTTAGAATCTTTATGAATACGGGCCCAGATCTTTGACCATGGGAACCCCTCTCACTACCACAAGCGCCGAAGAGTTGGACTCAACTCTCCCATGTTTGGGTGCCGCCCTGCCCATATTGCAGACCATTGGACACAGCTGTGAGCTAAGCCCAAGGCCCTGGTTAGCTCCACTCCCAGCCAGAAGGACCCACGGACTGTTGCTCGTAAGGGTCCCAAACATGGTGGAATCTCCCCTGTCGTCCCCTTCCATTTCAGGCACTCCAGCTGACCAACTAATTTTCCATCCTGGACAAGCAGGAGCTCACCCCACTCACTTGATGCCACATCCCCCCCATCATCCCTGGAGTCTTATGTGTGTCCAAGCTGTCTCTCTCTCCAGTTGACCATCGCTCTAAACAACATGCCCCCTCTTCACGATCTGGCTGCGAGAAGTTTACCGCTTGTCCTGTAGTCCCCTCTCCTGTTCAGACTTCCAATCCCCTTCTCCTTCTTCATTGATTACTGGTGATTCCATAATCATAAACATAAAAACAAAAACG